AACTACAGATGCCACACTGTATGTTTGATTTACTAAAAAGATCCTGGTTAAAAGAGTCATTTGTTTATGAATCAGACTACACCGGTCGTGCTGATTGCTTTTGATTCACTAAAAAGAATCATAAGAATCATTTAAAGAGAATCGGACTGCACTCGTCAAGTTGTAGCCTATGTTTTTGATTCACTAAAATGAACCGACTCGTGAGAGTCATTAGTTTGAAAATCAAACTACAGAGGTCACACTGTATGTTTGATTCACTAAAAAGAATTGGGTTAAAAGAGTCATTTGTTCATGAATCAGACTGCGTTGGTCATGCTGAATGTCTTTGATTCACATAAAAGGACCAGCTCATAAGAATCATTTACTAGAATCAAACGGCACTCGTCAAGTTGTAGCCTATACTTTTGATTCATTAAAAAGAACCGACTCATAACAGTCTTTAGTTTGTGAATCAAACTACTGTGGTCACACTGTATGTTTGATTCACTAACCAGGTTAAAAGAGTCATCCAGGTCTCCTTTGTGCCATTTTTTGTATTTTTTAAAACAATTTGAAAAATTGTCTATCATTATTTTACTTTACTTTACTTTGGAGTGTAGAATATGATCTGCGGTTTAAATTTGTTATCCGTTCTTTGTACTTGTACTATTTTGGTACTATAAAAATATTACATTTTTTAACTTTTAGTTTTAACCAAAAGTTGTCTAACATTATTTATATATATATTAATTTGTATTTATTATTTATTTATTATTATTTATGTTAATGTTTTACGTATTCAAATGCCTTTTTATTTTATTTGGACTTTTATGTACATCCATTCTTAAGATATTTTTGTGCAGAATGTCAGTCTTTCTGTGATTTTCTTCCCTCATCATGTTTGTTACTCTCATGGAGATCCACAGCAGCACAGATATGTGTGTACATGCACAAAAACACACAGTCTGCAGTGAAATCTCATACATTCACCAACCTTAATAAATGTGCCCTCTGTTGACATGCATCCCAGCCTTTAGGAGACCGTCTGCTGCACAGATGTGCTCTCTCTCTCTCTATCTGTCTGTCTCTCACCCAAATGTTTGAGAACCTGACAGTGCAGTATGAGGCAATCAGAGTCATTTTCTCAGGAGAAACATCTAAGAAGCAGGAGACTTCACCAAAAGTCTCCATTTGCTCTCTGTATACTCTCTGAGAAACAATTGAGATATTAAATATATGTGATTTTTTTATATTCTTTCCTATAGGTCTGTCGTGTAATGTGTGCAAGCCTTGTAATGTGTGTGTGTGTTAGTTGTTTATTGGGCAGACGCTGAAGGACTCACAGATCAGGAATGACTGGAATGTGAAGAGGAGGAGGAGACAGAGAGAGAGAGCAAGAGAGGTTGAGTGGGAGGTTATGGATTTATGAGGTCGTTGTGGGAGCTGTTGTACTTTTGCGTGACACCAGCTTTGTTTCGGACCCTTGTGGACCCTCAGGGTGGACTGTGTGTGTGTGTGTGTGTGTGTGTGTGTGTGAGAGAGAGAGAGTTTCAGGTGGCCATGGCTCAGTTTACACTTTTGTGGAGTTGATATGAATGACCCCTCTGTAGCTCCGCCCCTGTGAACACAATGACCCCTCACATGGGCCTAATACATAACTCAACTCAGTTCAACTCTGTTTTTGCCTTATTTTCTTGACCAAAACTGCACATGAAGCACAATAAAACAAAACTAGTGTGCATTTGTATACACTCTTATTTTTTATATAGTAATATACCTTCATTTATTACCAAAATAAATAAATAAATAAATAAATAAATACATAAATAAAAATAACTATTGCACATGTGTATCTTTAACAACATGTTGTCATGAGGGCAATGAATTACGAAATAATACTGACACAAAAATTGCTTCATTTCGATTCGGATATATGAAAATAATAAGTTGCAGTTCAGCAAGTGAGTCCAATGTTGATTCAGTCGTCACTCTGATCACACTTCGTCAGACTGAATTAACTGATAACTCATATTTTAAACTATTCATTAAAGGGGTCATATGATGCGATTTCAATTTTTCCTTTCTCTTTGGAGTGTTACAAGCTCTTGGTGCATAAAGAAGATCTGTAAAGTTGCAAAGACTAAAGTCTCAAATCCAAAGAGATATTCTTTTTAAAAGTTAAGGCTCAAAAGAATCATTTGTTCATGAATGGCTGTTTGTTTTTGATTCACTAAAAAGCCCCGGTTCAGAAGATTAATTTGTTCAGGAATCTGATTACACCTGTGGTGCTGGATCTTTTGATTCACTAAAAGAACCGACTCATAAGAGTCATGACGAATCAGTCTACAGTTGTCGTGCTGTATTGTTTGGATTCGCTAAAAGGAACCGGTTTATAGAGTCATTTGTTTGTGAATCAGATTACACTTGTGGTGTTGTTTGATAGGGTTAGGGTTTTTGTTTTTGTCCATGAGGAAAACCCAACGAGCCATTCATAAGCGGTGCAGGAAACACTGAATCACATGTAGTAAACAAGTTATTTTAACAAATAAAATGGAGTGATAATTGCTGAAGTAAACATGAGTATTGTTTGTTTATTTCAGGTCATTGTCAGGGAGTTGCCATGTCGTTGCGATGGCTCTGTGTGTTTTAAGTGCATTGCTATGCATAGTAGTGCTTTTTAGTACAAAGCTGTGCGGTTGCTAGGGTACTCTAGGTAGTTTTAGGGCGTTGCTATGTATCATCATCATCGTAGAAGATCAAAGATATATTTGTGGAAAATCTTCACACATATACATGCGTGTAGCCTGAAGTGAGATCTCACACCATGCCTTTGAGAAGCTCTTGAAGTTAAAAACACGCCTGGCATCTCCATAGACAAAAACGCCTGCACTAAACTCACACGGGTCTCCTCTACTTAGAGTCTCAGAAGAGATCTGTCTCAAACTGTGCTCAGATATGCAGAGATCTCAATACGAGCTCAAACTTTTCCCATCAAATGATCTCACGTTCATTTGAGAGCTTTATGCTCTTACTAGACTCACTTATGCTTTTATTTCTCCAAAGGAAGAGAGGAGAAAGTCTCCTAAAGACCAGCATCTGACCCTCTCATGCATCACGAGGTCATTTTCTCCATAAAACAGCAACAAACAGGTGTTTTTCGTTGGGTAAGAGGGCATTTAGGGGTTCTGTAATTAGTGTATACTAGTACTAGTAACCGGAGTCTGGCCGGATGAACGAGCCCTGTGATTTATGGGAGGCGTAAAGGCATATTCTATAAACATTGACACACAGACCAGCTGCTGCTCCTCTCTACGCCATGCCTGCGCCATCATTCCCTTCACCTTCTCATCCAGCGTGACCCGTCTGTCAGCAAAAGCATCACCACAAAAAAGATGAACAGTCAAGTAGGGGAGGGCAGTATGATATTTGCATCACTGTGCCCGATCGAAAACCCTGAAAGATAAGATCTCACAGCCTTGCTTTCACATTTACAAATGCAATTACGTTGAGCACAGGATCTTGTCGGATAAATTACCCAGCACACACACATATGAATGACGTGCTCTGTCGTTCCACTGCAGCCGATGAAGACGTGTGTTTGGGCGGTAATCATTCTTACTTTAGCTATGTACTCAAACTCACTGTCAACACATGCCTCAGACCACCATGTGTTCAACAACATCAGTCGTGCAACAAACACACGTCATGTGTGACCTGCTTATCACATGTGACGAGTTGCAGGCTCAAGGTTAGAAAAATGTGAAGAGTAGAAAAATATGTTTGTTTATGTATTAAATATATATATATACAGTATATATATATATATATATATATAAATGTAATATTTAATAGACATTACATATATATATATAATTTGCTTGCACTTTCCTGGATAATATTCTGAATAAATCAATGCACACTGGGTTAAAGAACCTAAAAAAAAATTTTTTTTGGTACATTTTTAAAAACCTTTTTGAATGTAATTTTTTTTTACATTTTTTTATTTATTGTATGTATATGTATATATGCCCATTACTGATTACAGATTATATGATGAAAACTGTAGTTATTAACATAATCTAGGTTACTCATTTTAGAATAGTCTAGAAATATGGCACATAGTCTTAGAATTTGTACCTGACTAACTGGGGCCCAGGTCAGGAAGCAGACAGACTGGCTAAACCGACCGTCTGCTAGCCGCTTCATGTCACAGAAATCCTTTGACACAATCTGTATTGTTAAAAGCGCTATATAAATAAAGGTGACTTGACTTGACTTGACTTTAGGTAATGTATTCTGACTACTTTTTAGATCACTTTTTTTTTTAATCTAACTTACAACTAAACGTACCATCCTGATATAAAAAGGAAAGGGAAAGAAAATAAATTCCATTTTTGGATTTCAACATCATAAAATGCATTAAACATTACATTAAACCAGGGTTTCAAACTGGGCTTAGTGTAAGAACTGCAGTGGGTTTGTGAGTTGATAAAAAGTTAGTAATTAATGAAATCATAAAAATGTAAAATAGATAAACACTTGAACACTAAAAATTGAAATATTTAATTTGTTTACCTGTATGTCAATGTGACCATTAAGCGACATCGAACTGTAAATGCAAATGTGAATATTAACTTCCTCAGAGATATTTCAAGTAAATATCTCATGTCAGAAGAGTTTGGCTGACAAAAACGTTAAAATAAATTTTTTAAAATTACATATATAATATATATATACATAATTATACAATAATATATATATATATATATATACACATACACACAATTTTTTTAATGTATTTTATTATTTACTTGCACTTTCTTGGTTATTGTAAGGAAAAATATCTTCATGTCTTCTTGTCTTCATTATTTTTTTATCAAAAATTAACTGGCTCAATCCATCTATTCCGACACTTTTCATTATTAATCAATAATGATTTAATCAATATAAAACCAATTCTTGTAAAAGTAAAAGTAAAATTTCACGTTGACTCTAAACTTCTCTCTGTTTGTTTTTTTCAGGACGGAATGAGCTGATTGCGCGATACATCAAGCTTCGAACGGGAAAGACACGGACCAGGAAACAGGTAGAGTTATCTAGATTCTTACACTGATTCAAATTCTAGAACATTTGGATAATTATGTACATTCACTGCCTTGTTTTCCTGTAAAATGTCTGAACATACTTTAAAGCAAGGTCTAAATTTAACTGATAAATCTGTGATGGCAACTTTAAAATAGCAACTAGAGTTTAACCTGTCCCTACTGAAGCATGGATTAAATTGGTTAATTACTTTTATTTGACCTTTGTGTCACACATTAACAGCAAGAGGAAGTACAGCAAATGTCAGACTGGGACTTAGAGATGGGCTTGTCCTCTTAAACTCCCAAACAGACTTTCACTGAGTGTAAATGTTTGGCCCCTGAGGGCCTCGATGCTGAAATGGACTTCAGCGGTGTGATTTATCGCACGCGGATCGGATATCGGTGTGTGTCTTCAGCACCTCTCTCAGTCCCGCTCGTTAGACCCACAAACAACTGCTCGCTCCCGGTCGTCCCATTACGATCGGGGCACATCACACGCTGCCGGGGAGGGGATTTGGAATCTAATAGCGTTCCCGCCGGCATTTGATATCGCTTGATGTCACTCAGGCCTTGTCACATACTGAGTCTTAAGCCCTCGGAGAGAGTCGAGGTGAGCTGGGGGCCCGAGAGGAAAAATAATAACTAAAAACAAGAAGAGAAACTAGAAGCGCACCTGGTAAGTGGACAAATGAAGGTCAAAGCAATCGCTGGTTAGGTAAAGTTTTCCATGCATACTTCGTAATTTAAATTCTGTCCAAATTTAAAATCTGTTTGTTTTGCACAACCTTGGTTAAAAATTACAGAGCAAATTTACTTGAGTTTTTCATTTTAAGTTAAGCTTCCCTTGTGAAATCAGATCATTTATTCAAGTTGTTCCAAACCTGTATGAATTTTTTTCTTCCGTTGAACATTTTGAAGAATGTTGGTAACCAAACAGTTTCTGGTCCCCATTGACTTCCATTGTTTATTTCCCCCATACTATGGAAGTCAATGGGGACCAGAAACTGGAATAGTTCACCTGAAAATGAAAATTTGCTGAAAATGTGCTCACCCTCAGGCCATCCAAGATTAGGATGAGTTTGCTTCTTCATCAGATTTGGAGAAATGTAGCATTGCATCACTTGCTAAGCAATGGATCCTCTGCAGTGAATGGGTGCCGTCAGAATGAGAGTCCAAACAGCTGATAAAAACATCACAATAATCCACAAGTAATCCACAGCACTCCAGTCCATCAGTTAATGTCTTGTGAAGCAAAAAGCTGCATGTTTGTAAGTCGGTAATCCATCATTAAGACATTTTAACTTCAAATCGTTGCTTCCAGCTAAAATGCAAGTCCATAATCCATAATAACGCTTCCTCCAGTGACAAAGACATTTTGTCTGAATCAGGAGAGAAATCTGCACAGATGAAGCACTGTTAACAAGAAGAAAAAAACGGTCTAAAAGAGCTCTAAACAAATATGTGGCTAGATTTTGATGTGAGAGACAACAGGAGACGGACTTTTTCACTGGAGAAACCGTTATTATGAATTATGGCCCGAAATGATGATTTAACATTAAAACTTCTTAATGATGGATTTGTTTCTTTTACAAACACAGCTTTTCACTTCACCAGACATTAACTGATGGACTGGAGTGGTGTGGATTACTTGTGGATTATTGTGATGTTTTTATCAGCTGTTTGGACTCTCATTCTGACGGCACCCATTCACATCCATTGCTGAGACACTGATGCAATGCTACATTTCTCCAAATCTGATGAAGAAACAAACTCATCCTAATCTTGGATGGCCTGAGGATGAGTACATTTTCAGGAAATGTTTATTTTGGGTGAACTATTCCTTTAAGAAATAAATGATTATTAATTTTAAACGATAAGATCAGCTGGGCTAAAATCTTGTGTGTTTTCCGTAGGTCTCCAGTCACATTCAGGTGTTGGCACGACGGAAAGCTCGGGAAATTCAGGTGAAACTCAAGGTAGCTAATGAACTCTGCTAATGCTGATCACTTGTTTGCAAATTAGCACCATTATCGCTTTACAGCCAAAGCATTTGTTAATGATGCAAAGAGAGGCTCGAATGCTGGACAATTGCATTAATCTGTGAGCGAATATAGCCTAGGCATGATTCAGATACAAATATAATTGCAAGCAATATCATACACTACGCTATAAATCAATTTCAGCACGTCGCTAATTTTCAGAAAACGTGTGACCTCTGGCTGTACAAGGGCTTAGCAGACGGCTCAGTAATATCGAGTCTTCTCCTTGCGCGCTCCTATCTTTCATCATATGGCATAGTTCACCCGTTGGCCATCGGCCATCTTGGCCCAGCTGTCTGAGTGCGGTTCTGGTCACACGGCTAACACTGACAGCCCTTTTAAATACGTTTCTGTAACTGAGAACTGTGACGGACTCACACATGCCCATATTTCAGCCTGCAGCGTTTGCCAGATCTGGGCTGAAGAATGCATCGGCTAGTCATGCTTCAAGGACACAGCAGTTGCTTGGGCTAGTCGTTTATGACTGTGACCTCTCCATGCACATTCGCTTGATGCAACTTTGCTGTACGTTCACTGAGCTTTAGGAGAAAGTAACAAAAAGTAAACTGATGTGAATCATTAAAACTTATATATGAAGCATTAAAAAGGAAGATTCATTTTAGTGAATCGTTTCATTCATTACTTTTTTTTTTTTTTGGACTGAGGCAATAATAAAATGCCCTAAAATGTCCTCTCTTTCTCATAATGAAGCTTTTTTCATTTTTGTGAATCGGTTCACTTGGATGAACACGCTCAAAACCGAACAGTTCACTGATTCTAGTCACTGCACAGAAGTTGCATTTTGCTTTTTTTTCAAAGCAATATATTTAGTTTAAAATATATTTATTATAGTTAGATTTATTTTTAATAGGCTCATTTTTTTTTCTTTTTTTCCTCTGAATGAACCGATTCATTTGTGTGAATCGGATCATTTGGATGGACAAGTTCAGACAGATTCAGTTCACTGATTCCAGTCACTGCGCAGAAGTCTGTTGCATTTCGCTGTTTTTTAATGCTGATATATTTTGGTTAAAGATACATTTATTATATTTAGGTATATTCATTTTTAAAATATATACTTATTATTTTCAAACTGAGGCAATAATAAAATATGCTCAAGTTCAACTAAAGTGTCCTTCTCATATTAAGCTTTAGAATGACTGATTCATTTTAGTGAATAAGTTCATTCATTTCTTTTTTTTTTTTTTTG